GGGAGAAGCAGACCCCTCGCACCAGGGAGAAGATCGCAAGAGTGCTAGACCCAATCCGGCGTGAACGCTGGAGAAGACCCCAAGACCTAGTGGGAACACTAGAGAAGACCCCCGTAACAGGGGAGAAGCAGACCCCTCGCACCAGGGAGAAGATCGCAAGAGTGCTAGACCCAATACGTGTACTGGAGACAAAGACAGAGAAAGACCTAGTGTGAACACTAGAGAAGACCCCCGTAACAGGGGAGAAGCAGACCCCTCGCACCAGGGAGAAGATCGCAAGAGTGCTAGACCCAATACGTGTATTGGAGACAAAGATCCCTACGGCAAGAGGGACACGGATAGTGACGGGTCGGCAGCCTTGCCACCTCCTTATGGGAAGCTACTGGCTGAAATGTGGAGAGAACAAAAGGAATGCCTAGTACGTGGTACACGACTTGAAGAAAAACAGGAAATCATTCACGAACTCGCGAAGACGGGTAGCATGCTCCTGAAAACGAACGACGGAAAGTTGGGAGATGTCGCGAGGGCAATCGGCGGCACCTTGGTGTCACCGCCGCTAAACCTGAGCGACCTCGAACAACATTTCGGAACTAACAAGCGCTTTCCAGACTTATCGAGTCTCATAGACATCGTAGACAACGGTGTGCCAGCGAAAACGCACGACAGCCCGCTTAACCTCGAGAGCGCTCTCCGATACGGAAATCACAGTACGAGAGAAGCACACACGGAACTGGTGTGGAAGAAACTGACAAATGACATCGAACAGAACAGATGCCTCGTATTCAACGTAGCGGACGCAGCTCGTATGAAGGGCGTTCGCGTATCGCCGCTAGGAGCTGTGGTAGGAAAAAAAATCAGAATCATCAACGATTTTTCTTTTGACCCCAAACTACTGCGCGGACAGAAGGGAGGAGTCAATGTAGACACCGTAACAGAAGAAGTACCCGACTGTTTGTGCGGAGAGACTCTACCTGCTTTCCTTTCTGAAATAACGCGTTTGAGAGTCAAATGGCCTGACAAGAGGATACTAGTGTCTACGGCAGACGTGAACAACGCTTACCGAAACGTGAGAGTTGCACCAGACGATGCACAAAAATTCTGCTATGTGATAGGAGACGTACTAGTCGCTGACTTCAGACTGACGTTTGGGTGGGCAGTATCGATTGTGGAAGCGTTCCGGAAATTTCGTGGAAGAGCGGCGAAATAATAAGTGGTACACGGGGGTATAGCTATACACAGGGTACAAAGAAGAGAGAGAGTTTGGCAGAAGCTTTTGGGATCCTTGGGAAGCCGAGGACCTCGAAGGGAAAAACGTTGCATCGCCCGCAAAGGCAGTGCAGCAAAGCAGCAGCGAGAGAAAAGAGTTTTCGTTTGGGACTTGATCGAATTTTCCCACCCACCCACCCTGTCGCTCAAGAGAGGAGGGATCAATGGGAATAGAAAAATCGGTCTAGTACCAAATTTGTTCTCCAAATTTGCGTTGATTTTTGTGTTTCTGGTCAAGGGATATGACCTGGGCATAGACGTCGGGTTGGCCCGATAAGTGATACCTAGTGAGTCCGAGAGGAAGTCAACGGTTCGGCTCATAGGTTGGATTTTGTTTTGATATTTCTCGTGTTTCGGCGTTTTCTGATTTCTTGTCGCTTTTTCTAATAATCCAAATTTCTTGAGCAAAACACAAATACCGTGGTCAATAATCAATCAATAATGACGAACCGTTCTCAACCATCGAAGGCATAAATACCTATGCCTCCTATATTTCACGTCCAGGATCCAAACGTCAAGAATAAGGTTTTTGTGTGATTGAGAGCGAAGTTTCTGATTGAGAGCGAGATTGCGCGATGCACTGTAGCTGGACTACCGCTGAGAGGTGGAGCTTGCTGCGTGACTTGAATTGAAGGCCTAGCCCGTAGCTACAAGCCGATACCCTGGTCATCCTGTGGGCGTCTCTCGTTGTGGAGCTACAGCGGGGAGCAGAATCTACAGCAGAGCTCACCGCCCGCGATCAAATCGCCCTGAAACAGTTTGAGGCAGGAATAGCCAATCTGGGGAAATCTAGCAACTTGTCTAGCTCCTAGCTGCAGCATCCGATCGCGATGACACGCATATGCTCGTGACGCTGCTGATGAGACCTTCAATTAGGGCCGCTTCTTGGAAGAGCCCGCCCCCTACTTCCCAAGAAATGGCAAGAGGCGTCTGGACCCGAAATTTCATTTTTTTTGGCTCCCGCTCTCAATCGTATACTCCGCTCTCAATCAGGCGAAAACCCTGTTCAAGGTATCGAGTTCGTCGTGCAAGGTGCGTGTGTACATACACCCCGGGTATGGGCAACATGCAGACGCCTCAAACTAAAGTATCTCATACTCATTGACCTTCACCTCAATACATTCCATTGCGGTCTACAGTGCTGCAACCATCATCATCCACACACTTTCCCAGATAGGGTCCATCATCAATCTCGTCTCATACACGGGGTGTACGTTTGGCGCGTGAGGAGTCAAATATGCCATGTACGTACATCAACTTTTGGTCGCGGCGTGCGTTGCGAGCGTGTGGGTGTGTGTATGGTCAGCCTGCCAACTGTAGAGGTATAGTTAGCGTTCAATATGAGCTGGAGATACGTCACGCGGGTACTAACAGGGTTTTCGCCTGATTGAGAGCGGAGTATACGATTGAGAGCGGGAGCCAAAAAAATTGAAATTNACGCCCACAGGATGACCAGGGTATCGGCTTGTAGCTACGGGCTAGGCCTTCAATTCAAGTCACGCAGCAAGCTCCACCTCTCAGCGGTAGCCCAGCTACAGCGCATCGCGCAATCTCGCTCTCAATCAGAAACTTCGCTCTCAATCACACGAAAACCTTGTTTACTGCTGTATGCTGGTGATTGTTGTGTTTGTGGCCTCAGCGGTTGACTACGTTTGTTTGCGAATGAGGGAAGGCTCGCCGATAACAGAGTGGGTGATAATGTAACTCGACGTAGACGTTCTGCGCCAAAAGCCGTCCAAAAGCAGCCGGGAATGTTTTGAACGAACAGTCCAGCGTAGACTTTCCGGGATGCAGGGGGGAATCGCCCGCTTTGGGCCGATTTGGGCGTGTTTTACGGCGGTGTAGCTCTGAAGGCGCTCGACAGCTTAGGACTGAGACGGGCAGGCAGTGGTGGAAATACTTTTCTGGGGACACCCTGAAGAGAAGGCCTCCGCCGGAGCTCCTTGGTGGGTCGGAAATTGGGCGCTAACGTCTCGGGTTGAATGTCGGGCCTACACCCGCCGCCGCGCTCTAAGCTCTCCGGTTCGGCGCTCTCTAAGCTCGAGAACAAAAGTGTGATTGTCTACACGTACACAAGTAATCCGGCAGCGGGGGCCTATCGGCTCCCGCGGCCTCAGATGATGGCTTTTCCCGCATGCCAAGAGATGATGGCGAGACCAACGTGGTAGGTGATGATATTTACCATCAATCCTGGTTGAATGCAATCTATGTCCGTTGTTTTCAGGCCTGAACTGCAGTAGTACGCATTTCGGCAAGCAAGCGACAACGGTGGTCATAATCACCAAAAACTCCAGATATTTTGTACCCGAAAAAAACCGGCTCAGACGAAATACATGCCGGCGTTTTGGTATGTGAATATGTCACACACAGGTGAACATCGATCCGGCGCGTAACATGTACATGCGCGGGCGCGCGATAAGCATACCCAACGTACAGGCTGACTGCTGCATGCATGCACAAAATAGCCAGCCGGCTACGTCCTTATGCAGTTTAAAGACGTTCCATAACTTTCGGCTTCAACCATCAACCT